CCCCTTCATGTCCTAATACTCTACCAAAACGTCCCAGCTGGGGATCCCTTCTGCTCCCCCACCGATTCAGTCCCCCAGGCTCTGGTGGCCTGCCATCCCATTTCCGATCACTTGCCAGACCCGTTGAGTTTCCACTTTCTTCCTGTCTGTCCTACCCACTGCAGGTCTGCACGGGGAATAAATAAATCCCACACTGATCAGAAACACACTGTGCATTAGGATACTTAACACTGACTGCCCCACTCCTGCCTTGTCTAGTCCTCACATCTAGCTAGGTGTGAGAACGAGACTTTAAAGAAATAAAAAAAAAAATAAATAAATTGCCCCTGCATGTCTCCATGCACACAAGCAGACTTAGAGGCTGATTTGCTCTGGGGATTTGTGACCAAAGCTCCCTGTCAGGTACTGTGAGATGGATTCAAAGACCTTTCCTACTCTAAATCCCCAAAGGTGGGATGGAGCAAAGCCATTTCTGGCAACCTGCGTCAGAGAGGGGAGAACTGGAGCTTTCACTTCCCTTTTCTTTGTCTGTACATCTGCCCCTTGTCTGTGCTGCGTGGCATGCTCTGTGCTGCATCTCCAAGGCAGAGCAACAAGGGGCATGTTTGCAGCAAGCAAGGGCATTGCTACAGGGGCACTGCCTGCATGGCAAATTTGGTTGCCTGTCCTGTACCTCCAACCACACTCTGTCTCTGAAAGCAGCACTTCCATATATCCACATTTGAACTATAACTAAAAGCAGCAGCAGAGCTGGAACTCTGCCTGGGACTCAGAGCACAGAGGGAGAGTCCCCAGGAGTGGCACAGGCACTGCTCACCCTCACCTCCCAGAGCCAGGAGAAGTGCTGGAACCACAGTACCTGGATCATGTATGGAGCACTGCCCCTGTACACAGCACGGACAGCAAGGCAGGAGACAGCAGCCTATCACCAAATTGGGAGAGACTAGAATTTGTGGGTACAAAGAGGGACAGTGAACCAGTACAGCCCAGCATTCATCCCTGCCTGCCTTCCTGGTGCTTTCAGTTACCCAGACATCTGCTCTGCAGTGACCAGCTTAATCTCTGCTGTTGAGATTAAATTTGTGGCACCAGCAATTCAAAATTGTGCGGCCAGCATAGGACCCTGCTAAATGGGCAGAACTGCAATGTGCAGGGTTTCCTGTCCACGCTGAGCAAGCGCTGTCTATAGACCAAAATTAGCTCAGCTGGACCGCCTTTCAGCTTCACCCAGATCCACCTAGGGCCTTAGGAGCGTAAGTCCCATGGATTCAGGTACCTAAATGGAGTTAGATGCTGAATGCCATGAAGTAGGTCTGCACAGACAGTAGCTGTAAGCTCTTGTAAGCTACAGAGTGGCTAAAACCCTATTTTCCCCACCGAGGAGAGTATCTGCATATGGCAAAGGGACTGTGCAGCTCCTTTGACAGTCCTGCCTGGCTAGTGTGCTGCCAGTCTCACCTGTACCAGCTCCTTGGGATGTCTGATACTTACAGTAGGTTGTCTGGAGCACAGCTGCAGCAGCAGGCAGAACAACTCCGAATGTCAAACCTCTGCTTGACCTCATGGTGCTCTCCATGCCATGGATCCATATATGGATGCAGAGTGGACAGAGCTGCTGCACAACCTGAGTTTTACTGGAATGAAACTGTGGAGAGCTTCTCCTGATCTACGGCAAGCTAACACAAGGTAATAGAGAGGTGCAAGCCCCGGTAAGACATCTCAAAGACTGATTAGCTGAATACTTAACACTTAACTCCTATCTATCCCGCCACCAACTTCAGTTTTTAGCAAGTTGCTGCTATTTCCTTCAAGCGTGAACCCCCTGTCCAGCCACACTCAACTCCTTGACTTGAAGACATAGGCAATGTGATGGGATTCAGACATGTGCAACGATTGTGGCAATAATATGTACGGGCTGGTTTCTGTGAGTATTTCTTGGTTCTAAAAGAAAGCACAGTACAACTCCAGCTGCTCAAAAGGTGACTCCCAATCCCCTAAAATAAACAGCTCTGCGATCCCTAATGGCCCATTCACAACACAGCCTGAAGAGGAAATGGTGTCTGTTTTACTTCTCGTGGCACTGGCATGCGAACTCTGTAGCGCTGGAGAAAGACCGATCCCTGCACGGTCGGCACGCAAGCGTGTGCATATCCTGAACTACCTGATTGCCAAAGGACGGTGGTAACTTCTTCTGTCCCACACAAAGACAAGAGGCTGTTCTGCAGCAGATACTTATACCATTCATTTTCTTTCCATTCATGCCTATGTCAGAGAAGGCCGATGAGTAGACCTGAGGAAGAAGAGATTAGAGAAGTTATCTAGAGGGAAGCTAGAGTGCTTGCCACAGAGGGGGAGCATAGTGATCAGCCTGCACCAGTTACATGCCAGGTGACACTACCAATGTAGCCAGCATAGCCTTAAGGTTTCCTCAAGGAATAGGATGTGCTTTGAATAGTCTACACCATTATCCCACCGTCAGGACAAAGCACTGTATAAAAGCTGCCCTTGTAAAACAGAAGAATAATGGGTACATCTGTCAGATGAATCCAACCCAGACTCAGTAGAAGCTTTTGGATAACTGCAGAAGCAGCAGTACTTCATTTAAACTTACTTGAGAGAATGAGGCCACAAAGAACGGGGACACATTTTGGTGTTGGATAATAAAAAATTGCAGCCCTGGCAGTCTACGGACAAAGCAAACATAATTTTTCCCCACATCAGGGTATTATTCCAAGCCATGGCTCAGACATTGTAATAAACACTTTATGTAAACTGGGTTTGCTACAGATGTCAGGTAGCATTGTACCAGCCTGCTGTGAACTCATCAGCCTGTCCAGGACCAGTGGATAAATACTGTCTGAGACACCATTCAAGATGCATAATCGGTCACCCAAAACCCCACAGATATCCAGCCTGTGCAGTGCATCAGCGAGGGCATTTCCAGGCTTGGTCAGATGAAAAGTTCTCAAATATGCGTTTCCATGTCATGAAACCAAAATATTTCATAGTATGGCTGATGAGGGAAGCTAAGACTATAGGACAGCACTTAGCTTCGCTGAAGTCTAAATTTAACATTCCCTCATTAGGCATCAGTAACAGGCTCTTGGCCACAAAGGTCTACTTGGACTCTGCCCTACGTCTAAAGAACACATGAGTAATACCCACAAATTACTGGTTAGTTGAGCCACTCTGTGCTACTCCAGCCCAGCATGTTACTGACCTGCTGCTTAGGAAAGGTTCGGCAAATTACAGGTGTATTTGTGAAGGCCATGAAATCTCTTCACTCCCTTGGTACTTGCAGCCTCCAGGTGCCCTGAAACAAACCTAGATAGTGAGAAAAATCAGGGCCCCTTCTCCCATTGCCCCTGAAAGCTATGAGCAATAAAAGGCAAGGGTGGGGACACTGAGCAGAGTCTTGCAGACCTGAACAGTCACAGTGCAAAGAATCCTATGGGCTCTGCTAGCGTGCCCCAAAGGGGATGTGTTATGAGAGCACTCTGAAAAGCAAGTATTTTTCTTCACCAATAGAGCAAACAAACATATTTTCCTTGGAGCCGTTCCACACGTGCACACATACAGAATACAGCACACAGCAAACAAGCACAGACTGGTTCAAAAAGCAGAATTTTGTCCAGAGGCTTTCCTAGCTCCATCTGCTCTGACGTGTCTCCCTTGGTACCCTTTCATTTCTGGTCACTCCCCTCGTCTACTCACAGTAACGGCTCCTTTTGAATCACACCGTAGCCTCAGAATAGTCTTTCTCTCACCAAAACTGGGGCCGTTTCCTTCAGAAACCTGCTGAAAATCTGTCTATGTTGGAAAGCCTTCCAGCTTAAGCACTCTCGTGCTGCTCTGGGCTTGGTGAGGTCCCCTTCCTCTGGCACCTGTGCCTTTGCAGTTTGCTGGAAGTGGGTCGATGTTATTTGTTTGACACGCTGCCTCATACGCCAGTAATACTCTGAAATAATAACAGCCATGTTTGCAAGACATTGGGTTGTCAGCAATAAGAGCAGTTGTTGTGTGGATCATAGCTTAGCACTTGTATTAGAAAGACCAGCAAGTACTTCCCCTCCTGACTATAAATTGGGAGCTCCCTCTGCAGACCTGTCCTGATCCTGCAGTTTCAGTACAGGCAGCACTTGCCCTGTCCCCAAACAGGGAGGGGGGTCCTGGCATCCTGCATGGGTCCTGCTATCACAGCCCAGGGAGAGGGAACAGCTGGAACACACGAGGCTGTGGTTTTCTTACACATGACAAACTGCAGCTTCTCAGTGCAGCGTAAGCAAAAGGGCAAGTAAGCAAGAACATGCGGCATGGGAAGTAAGGAAAAGGCTAAGTTAGACACAAGTCCCTGGGGGGCCTGGGAACTCAGCAAGGCAACCCCAAATCCACTGCAAAAGTAAGCAAGGAATATCCCAAGAGCAAGGTGTCCCATGGCCTCGCTGAAATGAGAAAAGCGGCAAGACCCGAAAGCTAGAGTTGCCAGCAAGTGCTATCCTGAGTGCAAGAAGCAGTGCACCTAACCAGAGCCAAAGCAGTTTTCTGAAGAAGGTAACTGCAGACATAAGGCAGCAAGCCCAGCGTCCTCTCTCGCAATTTCTCCACAACTTGCTAAATACAGCTCAGCATAAAATTGCTTCCTTCTGTTCCTGTGCAGTCCCTACACTGGCAGCATGCACGTCCCTGATCGAGTCTATCGGAGGCCTCAAGTCAAGAGGCCCTATACAAAGGTCATGCTTCTCTTGAGCACGTGATGTTTAAGACGGCAGCCAAATGGAAAGGCGAGAAGGGAGAACAGGTAACAGAAAACAAAACCAAACACATGTTCTGTTTATTATGTTTAATAGACCTTGTAATCTACAGATGCCACAAGCCACGCCAAACTAAGGGTGCAGGAGGAGTACAAAAAACACCCTTTTGCTGAAAGATGAGAAGTGACAGTGAAAAGAAGTATCAGCAAAGGTGGTTTTCAGAGGGATGCTGATGGAAAGGCTCGAGACTCAGCACTCTAATGGAAAGGCTTGCTTCAAAGTGAACATTACAAAGATCATCTCTTCACATTGTTGGTGGGTCCCATATTCAAAGAGGCAGGAGAACAAGGGTGAGCCATCTGGCCCAACCCCCATGTACTGCAGATCCGAGTAAGCACACAGGCCCTTGAAGAGGATGCTTGGTTTTGTCCAGTGTGCAGGATTTAAAGGGCTTTTGTTGAGGTAAATTCCTAAATCTCTTCGGCCCTTTGGGTCTGTAGGATGAGTGTAGAGCAACCAGCTATCTTGGCACCTGGCGTCACGAGGAGGAGGGAAGGCAGTAACACTTCCATGACATCCAGAGGGAGGTTCTACAAGCATTTCAACCCGCTGGCCTCCCTCAAAGTCCACCCCATGGTTGTAGCTGACAGCCTGGATTCTGGCTCCCCTGCTGCTCCTCGCATTGCAGTAGAGGACCTTCCTGCCGCAGGTGTGCACCTCCGCTACCTGGCACTCCACCGCACTCTCCTCCCCCACAAAGTTCCCCATCTCCCACGTTGTCCCATGGTCAGAGCTGATGAAGCAGAAGGCGTGAGGGGTGGGGTGTTGCTTAGGGTCCAAGATACGATAGGCATAGGCAGGAATCACAAGGCTCCGGGCCTCGTTGAGCAATTGTAATCCATGACCCGGCCCTACTGCAAAAGTGGCCCAGTTCTTATACTCTGTGCTAATGGTACCATCGGTGACATCCTGGGCAGTGCTCCAGGTGCGTCCTTGGTCCATGCTAGTGACGTAGCAGAGACGTACCAGGTTGATCTTTGTCCTGAGCTGATGCTGCTCAGAGATCTTTCCTGGGACAGCTATGAAGAACAGGATCAGTTTCCCCGAGACCTCATCGTAAACGGGACAGGGGTTCATAGATCGATGGTCTTTCAGCTGCGCACTGACAATGGTCTCCATGCTATTCCACTGCCAGGCCCGTGTGAAGGGAGACAAGAATGAAACACACCATTACAAAGAGGTCCACGTTACAGCGTAAGGATGCCTGGATAAAAGCTACAGAAGAGCATGAGAAGAACAGAAAAGAAGCAAGTTAGCAGATAGAGCAAGAAGCGGGAAGACACTATACTGGCATCGCCAAACATAAGTGAAAATTATTTGGATGACACAATGCACATGCACTTCACCAAACAGGTGGGTTGTGTCCTTTTTAGTTACTACTCACCAAGGAGCTGGTAGCTCTGTATCTCAATGCAGCTAGTGTCTGATGACACTGTTTAAAAAACTACAGTAGCTAAATTTTCAGAAATTTTCACAAATATATATATATGAGAGACACAGACATGCCCAGTGGTCAAGGTGTGCTGGTACAGACACTGTGCTGTGTCAGTGTTTCTTAGGAATTCAGATAGATAACTAAGCCCTTTTCAAGTACCCTGGATGCTGACAAATTCCATTCAGAATCCTATTCCTCATTTCGATCCGTGTGTGGATGTGCCTCCCAGCCTTCACTGAGGCACCTTGCTAGAGTTGATTGCATGGCTTTACACAATGTGGTGTGGAAATCTGGACCCTGAGTTCTCCAACACAGAAAATAGGTCGCAGAGCAGGTATAACTACCCTCCAAGCCCTGTCTTTCTTTAATGACTAGCACATAATGACACGATCACACCTCTAACACTAACATTGCAATTAGAAAACTATTCCTACATAGTGTTACTGGTTTGGTAAAAGAAGCAGTATTTTCCAGTAAGATTATACTAATTAGTTTTTCTACCCTGACTTGCTGATTAGCCTTTTTGGTCATGTCTTATCTCTGTCTATTCAACCAGTATTAACTTTTTGGGAATATTTAACATTTCCATTTTAAGAAACTCTAGCATGTGAACACAAATTACTAAGTTTATGACCAACTGAGCCCTACTTAACTGAATTACAGGGGGGTTACACAAGAAGTTACCTGATCGGTATGACACTGCAGGTGCACTCAGAGGCTGCTTCTGCTAGGCAGACTCCAGCTCTTAAAAGTCTATAATCTAAGGCAACCAGTCACCAATGAAGGATTGGAATAGAAAAATATACTGACTTTTTTTTCTTCCAAAGACATTAATTCATTTGCAAATGCAAAAAAAAATTATTATAAATAGAGTATCCACCTCCCCCAGTCACCCAGCAAGATAACTGTTAATAATAACTGGTAGATTAATAAGGTAGCCAATTCACTGGCACAGACAAACCAGACGACACTCTTTTGCGTGGGGAGACTAGCTGTTCTCAATTGTTTTCTAAACCTGAAATTAGTCCTAAGAAGATGAATTAAAAAAACCCTCACTGATTGCTAATTCACTGCTCCCCCTCCCTGTGGCACTCCCCATTTCTGCCTCTCCTCCACATCTTTGCTATCACAACAGGACTTTGTCCCATCTCTCTGCTTCCCCAGCTCTGTGATGATAGGTCAATGCCATCCCCAGAAAATCTGCTGCACCTGCCTGCTTTAGTCCCCCTTAACAGCTACCCAAGGATGGGGTTGAATCCCAGCAGTTTTAATGACACACGCATTATTTATAAGCAGATTTGTCTTCTATAACTGGGGAGAAGGAGAAGCTGCCCTCTCCCCACATTCATCTCATTTGGGTACAGGTGAGCAGTCTCCCCCGTTTTCTCCCCACACCAGTACCTGAACGTGGTGCGTGGTTGGGTCATACATGCCTCTGCGCATCGCTATTAGCTTGGCATGTTCATCTACCACATCCTCACGTTCCTCAGCGAATGCCAGGATGATGCTGAAACGCGGCAGGTAGAGCAGGGCTGGAATTCGGTAGCTCCAGGTACCGTTCCGGAACAACGTCTCTTGCTTCAAGACAGGAAACGAAGCCATTGTGCTAGGGAGAAGAAGACAAAATGCATTGCATTTTGACCCACCCTCAGCCCAGAAAAACGTGACGGGGCAGATTCCATGGCTTTTTGCCCTCCCCACTCAGTGGGACCCGTCCTTCATTGAAACATAATTTCTGCTACTTTCAGCTTTGTCTTTTTCTTGTGCTTTTCCAAAGAGAACCCACGTGTTGCATGCTAGCTGGCAACACAGAGCAGACTTAGCCCAGGAACAGCCTGGTTGATCTTACTGGAGTGACGTAAGGTAAGTACACTAAATACAATTAATGAAAAAGCTGTCTGTGGTTTGTTTTTTCTTTTTAATTAAATTCACAGGCTGGGATTTTTGTGGGTTTGCTTTGTAATTCAGAAGATTGTTGATAATCAAACATTATAGTATTTTCCCTCAGAAGACCATTACTATCTTTGTTGACGGCGTTTCAAAAACCCAGCACAGAACTTCTGCTTTGCCAAACAGGACTTCAAATCCCACATAAACGACACACTGAGACGATCCCTCACCCCAGCTGTGCCCTGTTTGAGGACAGTAAGCACTGAGCACAAAAAGAGAAAGAAAGAGAACATCCCTCCCCCCATAAGATTAAAGAACAGTCTGAATGGTGTCCCACCACGTCGGGTGGGACTTCTGGCCAGCCAAAAGTCTTGTCAGCTGTACAGTGACTTAAAAGCCACATTAGGAAGGCAAACATGAGGGGGCATATGGGGAAGCTGCCTCTACTTAACTGGTCTGTGCTATGCCCCCACATAGTCTCTCTTCCTCTCCTCAGCCCCACTCAGCCCACTGTCCTCCTGCACCAAGCCTCTCCCGTGAACTCATTTAGCCTGGTAAAAACCCACTGGCTCAGGGGAATTACGTCTGAGCAAAAGGAGGCGGGGAGGGGGGAGGAGAAAGAAAAAGGATCTCTGACATGATGCACCAGAAACCGAAGGCCTGAATATCCTCTGCTCAGCAAGGAGGGGGGATAAATAAAAAAATAAAAATCAAGCCTTAGATCTCTGACGCATTGAGTGGGTAGGAATGGCAGGGAGAAGATGACAATACACTATGAGTAAGAAATTCAAATGCCTCCTACCTCGGCTGAGGCAAGTCTCGCTGCGCTCTTCGTTGAAGATTCTCCTATTTACCTAAATCTTGGAAAGCGCTAGAGTGGCTATTGGCCATGTATCAGATCCTTATGTTTTTGAAGACTGTCTTGATAATTCAGGACCAGATGGGGGCAAACTGAGGATTGCTTATGCAGCTGCAAGTACCTACCTGGAGAATAGTTTCCACTCTTCCATATCACAAGAGAAAAGATATATTAGCCAGCATAACTAACATAGACCCAGCTAAAAATTATTATTTTTTTTTTTCCGCTCAGTGTTGATTACTGAATTAGGACAGCACAGATAAGCTAAGTTAATCCTCCTCAGACAGCACCATGACATTATGCTCTATCCGGATCCATAGCTAGGCAGCAAGTATTCAAATATTCCTTGCTTTCACCTTCCAGATGCTATAAATATCAGCAAGATTTTTGAACACACAGGGTCTGATCAAAAGGGCCTGAACTGCACTATTTTAGTTAAAGCCAGCTGTACAGACCCCAGCAAGTCGCAGCCCCGTTGCCACTCAGATGCAAAGCCACTGAAGATACAAGTCTACTGCCAAAGGGTAGCTGCTTGCTCCTCGCTGTCACTGACAATACAGCAATCTGGGAAAAGGCAACAGAACTGCTACTATACAGAAACGTTACCAGAATTTGATCGCGGCTACCCATGCAACAACACGAAGAAAATAGAAAGACCTTCCTAGAACAAGTAACTGTGCTGTTCACTGCTTACCAGCATGGATCTGGCTATTTATACAGACCACAGTCGTGGCTGTGTTCTCATAGCTCCTGAAACAGAAGCTCACTAGAATGCTTCCAGTCTATTTAAAGGGAGATTATTTAAAGGGGGATTAGTCAGCCTGGCTAGTGCAGCACAGGTTCTCCAGAATTCCTGCTCATGATGCCATTCTGATATTGCAATCCTGCTCTAGGGCAGGGCAAGGAGGAGGCCAAAACCAAAACAAACCTCAACCAAACCAAACAAACAAAGAAAAGAAAAAAAAAAGAAAAGAAAAGAAAGGGAGAGAGAGATCTGGGCTGCCCCACAAAGCCTCCGATGCAAAGCCAAGAGATCAGTGCCACAGGAGACTGTACTGCAGCCTACTGCACCCGAGTCCCTCCTGTATGGGGCTGTCATCCGCAGACATCTCTGCCCATGCTCTTAGCCCCTTCGTCAGATGCTCAGTGTGGGTGTCACAGCACTCCTCTTTTCCTCTTATTGCCACATGGGGATTGAGGGAAAGTGGGATGTTAAAAGGCAGGGAATAGCTGCCATAGAAACAAGCCTGAGGTTCCTGGACACAGCACCCGTGACTATAATCGAGGAAAATATTAGAACCAAGTGACTCTTCCATCTATTCAGAGACTAAACAGGGCTATGTGCGAGTGTGTGTGTATACACAAATACACACATTTGTATATATACTCCCTACACACAGTGTGGGTATTATGTCTGTTTGCATATATATACACATACACACTATGTATCCATCTGCAGAGAAACTCTTCCATCCTTTTTTAAACACACTTAAAGTCAATATTCAGCTGCTTCTACCTTGTCCCTCGTGGGTCCCCAAGCAGAGATTGAGTCACAACAGTTTGAGTTTCACACAGAATTGAAAATGCAGAATCTTTAAATGAGCTTACAGATCTTAATATATAAAAAAAATAGTGCTGCTTTAGTTACTTCCCCAGCCAATTGAAAGGAATTGATTTTTCTCTTGATCTTTACCCATTTTCAAAGGCAAAAACACTAGCTACACCCTCATGAATAAAAGAGAAGTAAAATTAGCAAATCATTGACAGGACAGCAAATCATCAACAGGACAGCCACACAAAGAGTGCTCAAAAGCTCATACTCTAGCACTGCAGGAATTCAAATCATACATGCCAGTCCCTCTGAGATTAAATTGCCAAGGGATGCATATGTCCATGATGCTTTATTCCCAAACCCTATGGAAACAGCACTGGCTGGCCTGCAGGGACGAAGAAGGTGGCAGTGTTGCAGCCAGCATGATCTAAGGACATTGGCAAGACAAAGTTTGTAGACCATGGCAATATCTTTTGAAAGACCAAGAGCTATAATAGGAAAAAAGACAAACTTCTGGGAATACAAAGGCCTGAAATACAAGCAGGAGACTGGAGAGCTGTACACAGACCGACAGCAGTTGCTCAGACCTGCATCAATTCAGTCACCTTGGAGAGAAAAGTTAGCTGTAGTTTTGTGAGGTAAAAGGGTGAGAAAGGGGAAGTGGCACTGATGTGGCAATTTTTTCCTAGGAGAAAAAGAGGTAGCTGGTAACCTCTTTCCAGATGACAGAGATGTTAGTGAGGAGAAGGGAAATTCATCATGTCGCCATTAAGCCAGTATTCCCTTCCGCATTTTGGTATTTACTGGAGTTTTGAATTTATTTCCCAGGCTTATCCTTGCAAAGGGTCCTGTTTAGAGAGACTGACGTTTACCTGCAATTCCTCTCCAAGGCACCAGGGAAGCTGCTGCACTGATATCCAGTACTCACCTCCAGGCAGAACTAGGCAGACAGGGAGAAAGACGGTCACAGTGGAAACACATAAGAGGGGGTGGGGGGGGGTGTTAAATCGGAGGAAACCATTACTCATAGTTTGCAAGTTACACAGCTGTAATGATTTCCAAAGCAGAGACTCTTTCCAGCACACCGGAAGAGTCAAAAGAAATAACAGTTGTCAACAAATGAATCTACGATGGATTTGATGCCTGGAAGGAGCCCAAGTTGCAGTAAGAGATAGGTGCCGGAAAGCACCAGGAGAGGATACTTGTTCCTTCCACTTCTATCCTTCAAGGCAGCTCACATGGACTTGTCCATATAGCAGGATGAGCCCTTGCATGTTTATTTGCTTTAACCTCTCCAAGAAAAGTGACTAAAAAGGATAACATTTCCACTGGCCTCAGCTTCTGTAAAAACCCGTCCTTGACATGTTCAAATCCAAGCTGAAATGACAGTATGCCTTTAAAAACAAACCAGCAGAAATGAGGTAATATGCTGTACTCTACCCCTTGGTCCCTGTCAGAGTGCTCTGCACTCTGTGCAGGAGGCAGCTTGCTCTTGAAGGAATTCAGATTGATCCCAAAAAACCAAACCAACCCATTCAGGGAGGTTTAGTGGGGAAACACAAACAAAACCAGCTGAGAGAGTCAAGTGCAAAACCCAACTAAAATTCTGCTTTTCAAGGCAAGCACAAGAATCCAGGTCCAGTTGTTCTCCACTCAACGTCAGATCTGGACTTGCAGTGTTTTCCAAACTTATAAAAGTCAACTAAGTGCTATGCTGAAATATATTTCTTGTTTCACTTAAAGAAAATAAGACATTTCCATTGGGATATTCCATAGAGGGGGGCCAGGAGTAGTCACGTTCCGGTTGTATAGGGCTAAGAAATAGGAGACCGTTTGCTTCTAGAATACTTGCTACACAGTGTATTCCTATGTGCAAGCCTTTCCTCCAAGCTAAACAGTGTGACACTGCCTATTTCTGCCAAAGCCCAGCATCAGAGCGCTCCATCTCCATCTCTAGACCAGATCCTACACTAAATCTAGGCTATAGGATTTCTTAGTGAGCCAGGCAGCACCCTTTATTAGTCAAATAATGTGAAGTTGGAGAGTTATCAGCGAGACCTGTCAAAGAATAAACTTCAAACAAACTAAAACATTCAGAATTCAAAACCAAAAACGCGCAAAACTGGAATTACTTTACTCCAGCAGCCAATTGGATTAAACTTTTTAACCACGATAGAAAGTTTTCTCTTGTGGTAAGAACTTCATACCACACTTAAAAGGGAATTTTCATCCTCCCCAGTACATGCTTTCCTAAAGAATCAATCAAGTTCTGCTTTTAAAATGTCGTGGCTCAGCCTTGCA